TGATATAAACCCTGCATTACCCATGATAAGGAATACGGAATATACCATAATTCCCATGGTTTAGGGTGCTTAAGGTAGTGCAGGATTTATATCATCAACAGTACCACAATGTTATGATCCCTAAGACTGCACCTCGGAAGAATAGCTTACGGAGTGTTGACTTCCGTGGGATTCCGTGCTTTTTCGTTTGGTAATTTGAGGGTCTGGGTACGCAATGAGGCATACATCACAAACAAGCACCAACATAACATCTAAACTCGTCTATGTTCCATAAACAGACAAATGCACGTGGCTGGATACGCCGATAGATGGGTGGATGGATGGATACCTAGATAAGACTGTATGTGTCTAGCGTCGAGTCTGTGCAGATGAGGGCCTAGGGTAAACATGTTTGGGGTTGCCGTACATCGAACTCCACAGAAACACAAGTCGCGACCTTGGTGTAAGGGAACTTCATGCCGTAGTAGTCGCCAGGGTCGTTTTTGCTTGCGATTTCCGTCATCTCTTGATAGGAAATCCTGGGAGTCAGAATTGAAGGCTGGCTTCCGGGGCTTAGGGGCGGTTAGGGTTTAGGATTTATAGGTCTCGGGGCTTGGGGTTTAGGTTTAGGGGTTAGGGGTTTAGGGTTTAGCGTTGTAGGCTGTGGGATGTGGGGCGTCTTGGGGTTCGGGTGTTGATGAATGCTAAGGTGTGGGGCTCGGGTTCGGTCCTCAGATTTGCTGGGTTCAGGGTTTAGGGTTTAGGGTTTAGGGTGGGTGGATTCCCGGTTTGAACCTGGGGTTAAGGGTTTACAGGCATTAGACCCGATGTAAGACCTTACCAAACCCCAGCCTAGCTTCGGAAAGCCCCAGAAACGCCATTAAAGCCCTGTTCTAGATGGAGCATCTGTTCTACTGGGCCGAAACAAAGCCGTCTGAAACCCTACAAACCGCCTGATTGATCCTGTTTGGAAAAACGTTCTGCTTCTGCTTGCAAGTAAACCCGATAAGCATCCCGGCTCTGACTGAAAATCGCCTGTATAAAGCCCGTATAGAGTCTTGACACAAGCTTTGGTTAGATATACTGGGAGCCTATACATCGGAACACTATTATAACAAAAAACATTCAGAATCCTATTGTGTTTGCAAACCCCTCATGCAGCACGCGTAGCACCCTTATGAATCCGTTGAAATTCCCCCTACACCAACCCTTATCCCTGGCCTGTAACCCTAAACCCTAAACCTTAAACCCTAAACCCTAAACCCTAAACCTTAAACCCTAAACCCTAAACCCTAAACCTTAAACACTAAACCCTGTAATTTCCCAGAGTGACACCATGTCAAGCCCCACCATTTCCACCAGCAGGCCCCACTTATCCTAAAACCTACACCCTCAGCCTAAAACCCCTAAACCCTGAAAGCTCTCAGCCCATAAACCGTAACCCCTTTAGTCTCTAAAACCCTAAACACCTCTAAATCCTGTCGCAAGTCAATCCTAAACCCTAAACCGCTTAAATCCTAAGCCCTAAACCCCACCCCTAACCCTAAAACCTCTAAAATGCTAAACCCCAAACCCTCAACCCCTTGAAATCCTAAGCCCTCAACCCTAAAATAACCTAAACCCTAAACCTGAACCCACAATCCACGACATCCTAGTGGCTGCGGCTGCTTCACATTTTTCCACGGAGGGGGCCGCCTTTTGGGGCCGTTCCTTAGGCAAGAAAAGCAGCGTGTAGTAGGGTTTAGGGTTTTCCGGTTTAGGGGTTTAGGGTTTAGGGGTTTAGGGTTTAGGGGTTTGGGGTGGGGTCTAGGGGTTTAGGGTTGAGGGGTTTAGGGTTTAGGGTTTAGGGTTTTAGGGTTTAGGGGTTTAGGGTTTAGGGGTTAGGGGTTTAGGGGGTTAGGGAGTTTAGTCTTGGGGGTTGTTTGGAATAACTACGCTTAGAATTCTGGTAGCTATGGGCTGGAGATTGCGAGGGGTTAACCTAGGTTGATTTATGGCTCAGCTTCATCGCTGCTTTTTTGGCTGGGCAGGGCGGAGTTGTTGGGGTTTAGGGCTTAGGGTTTGGGGCTTCCTCTAACTCATCACCACAGCCGTGCCACCGTCGTCATACAAGACTGTCATTGTCATCCTTCTCTCGTGCAGCATCTTTCTCCGCAAAAAGTTCATCTTCATAATGCAGAGGCCTTAGTAATTCCGAATACTGTTCCTTTGGCATGCGGCTCCTTATTATGTAATGTACCCCCCAATGCCTTGTCAAATCGCTAAGGGTGTTCACCACCACCACCAGCAGCAGCATCATAATCATCGCCATCGTCATCATCATGATCATCAGAACTGCCGAGTCTTGGTAGTTATCCATTCTTGTTGTTGGCATTCATCTTCAGCTTCATCAGCTCCTGCAACATTTACAGCATCCCTCTCATGACTGTCATCACCATCATGAACATGATCGTCTGCTACCAAATAAACTCACGACAAGACTCTCACCAACTATAGGGATCACCAGGTCGTTCCCTTTCAGCCGAATGCCTCAACTGCAGGGCAAGATAAGAGTTCTTTGCTTCGGGTCTTAAGGCTTCGGGTGTCGGGTGGCATAGTGCGTGTAGAGTCGAGAATGATGCTAGAAAAAGGGCCTTAATCATTGGCATAGGGTTTGGGGGGTATATTAGAACAATACTTATAATCAGGAACCCCCCCAAAAAATAGCGTAGGTAATTCTATAGGCTCCTATATTGCAGTGTCGGCTCGCTTGCTTACCCGGCCATCTGGGAAGCCTTGTTTAGAGATGCACCCGAAGAATGCTGCTATGACGGTGGCCATGTGTTTGTGCCGCTCAAGTGGACAACTGCACAACTGAAATGCAGCTGATTTTTCGTGATGTGTTGCCTGGTGGCCTGGTATCTTGAAGTCAACAGGCTTCCAAAATGTACAGGATGCTGATCAACCACCTTTGTGTTTCTTACGCTCCTCTTCTCTAACCCTACATAGACCCTAAACCCTAAACCCTAAACCCTAGAGAGCCCTGTGCAAGGCTTGCACGCCAAGCCCAGTCAAAAGGGCTGTGTACTGCCAGAACTCAGCTCAAGTGAAGCCTGTTCCACGGTTTAGGGTTTGGGGGTGTAGCGTTCAGAGCTTAGGGTTTAGAGCCAGTCTTATCGTATAGCCACTGGCAGAGCGCCACAATTGTTCAGTGCATCTGCAGGAAACCCTAGGCCCTATAAACCCTGCAAACCCTAAATGGTGCTTTCAACCTAATCGAGTGAGTCGAGGGTAGAGGCATGAACACATGGCACAGGGCGTTTACACACCAAACCCCAAACCTAAACAGTACCTATGAAGGGAAGTTATGTACTACCCATAGGCCCTAAAGTAGTTCCTTATTTGCGTTTCCTTACAGGATTCTACATATGAACCCCAAAAAGGAACTACTTTAGGGCCTATGGGTACCCAGACCTTTAAGTATATCCGCCCAAAACCGGCCTCTCTTGCTACGCACACCCAAGCACCATGGGAAATGTGAGGCCTCAGCAACTACAATACGGGTGTGGAGAAGACTGTACTACACAGCATATACGGGCGAAACAGGGGATGTGACTATTAGTACTGCCACTATGATTAGTATTGTTATCAGAGAATTTTCGTTATTGTCATTCCAAATATTACTATTAGAGATATCACCATTACTATTAATATGATTATGCTTATGCTGATGATTATTATTCGTATTCAGGTTTCTGTATACATGAGGTTCAGACGAGAGGCTCACCCATCCTTCTTCTGGACCCGTGCCGCTCCTGGTCTCAAACTTAGGGGGTGAGTATCCTGGCCCCAAGAAGTAAACCTTTTCAATCATGGTAGGATTACATAAACCCCACACCCCTAAACCCTAAACCCTAAACCCTAAACCCTAAACCCTAAGCCCTAAACCCTAAACCCCACACGGCTAAATTCTACCTACTCGGCTACTATGCAAAAGCGGCGCGCGGTTTTCTGCGGGACGGGGGCGTTAAGAATGGGAATCTTTTTGGGGCCATCTTAGGGTTCCTTGAGGGTTTAGGGTTTGGGTTTAGGTTCTTTTTGGGGTTTAGGGTTTAGGGTTTAGGGTTAGGGTTAGGGTTTAGGTTCTTTTTGGGGTTTAGGGTCTAAGGATTCAGGGTTCCTTAATGGTAGGTGGGGATCTATAAGGGTATATGATGGTTTATTTCTATAAAGGTACCCGACGGAATCAAGGTTGGTAAAGATATTCAGGTCCCAGCCCTAGGGCCATTCAGATGGTCCGGCATTCAGTACGGTTGATGATAACAATACGGCATTACCCATGATAAGGAATACACCATCATTCCCATAGTTAAGGGCCCTTAAGGTAGTGCAGGATTTATATCATCAACAGTATCCGGTTTCGGGTTTAATGGCTTGGAGCAAGATTTGCCGGACGCAGGGTTTGGACTTCCTCACAACGTGCCGTTTTAGGGTTCACCTCAGCCCTGATCTCGAAACCATAACATAGGGGTCTTGGCAATGAGAATGGGTTCAGGAGTTGGTGTAGTCGCTATGATAATTCAGGATCCTAATGGCTGGTATTGGTAATAATTCAGGCTTCTATGCTACTTTCGAAATGATTTCTACTGCGACCTTGGCAATCTCCATTTAAACTTAAGAGTTTACTGCCTGGTTGTCGGCGTGCGAAAGCGATTTGTTGAGATGAACTTCCGTTTACATGCTGGACCTAAACCCTACACCCTAAACCCTAAACTAAAAACCTTAAACCCTAAACCCTGAACGCCGTTAGGTCGAAGTGTCGGCTTTCATCATCCAACTGTGCAGTGAAGTTCTGAAGGCCCCATGAGTAAGGGAGAAGGACTCGGTACCCAAAACCCTGACCCTCGAGTTGCTTATGTAGCGGCCTTGATCATCAGAATAGGGGTTTAGGGTCTAGGGCCTAGGGGTTTAGGGTTTAGGGGATATCCTATACTGTAAATCCGTAGCTCTATTTGATTAAGGAACCTCCAACACGGTATGGGCAAGTATTTTGGACCCTATGTCAACTTGCTGAAGCTCTCGATCTAGGGCTTAGGGTGTAGGGTTCAGGGGCTTAGGGTTTAGGGTTTCGGGGTTTAGGACTTAGGGTTTAGGGGTTTAGGGTTCACGGTCTGCAAAACTCAAATCCGTAGGGTTTCCAGCCCCGGGCTGGGATAATGAGTTGCCCTAAAGCTCCAAATCGCGCAAAGTAGGTACCATTTATACCTAGATCCTTACATGTAGTACCTTTTTTGGTGATGCCTTTTTCTCATGGCGGGGCTCCTATAATTAGAAACTAATAAGGCAACCCAGATTTCAGGGTCCAGGTAGGCTCAGAAGACCCCAAAGCCGGTACTATTTGTACACTTGGAGTCTTTTCGGTGAGTCTTTAGGGTTCAAGGGTTTAGGGTTTAGGGTTCCGGGGTTTGGGGTTTAGGGTTCAAGGGTTTAGGGTCTAGGGTTTAGGATTCAAGGGTTTCGCGCTCTGTATGAACCAACTATGAACTTGTTCCCTTGCGCACTTCGTAAGTTGAGACTCTCGTGGGTGCCTGAACCCTGCCGTAAACCCTCGAAACCTAAACCCTCAACTCCCAAAGAAATGAACCAAAATCCTTCAACCCTTAAACCCTAAAGTCTTATGTAAACCTTAAACCCTAAAGCCACCAACAACGACAACACACAACTTTAAAACCCAAACCGTACCAAGATCCCCTCTCGGAGCAGCCGAGGTGCTTCAGCTTGTAGTGGAGCCTGTCGCCCTTGAGCTCAAGCAGCAACACAACGGCACCTCAGGGTTTGGGGTTTAGGTTCAGGGTTTCGGGGGAAAAATATCAGGAGAGAGAGAGATTTTTGACATCCTATAGGTGTCGGAGTTGAGGGTATTCGGGGGTCTTAGACCCTATCGACCCGAATTCATGCGCTAGACCCTAAAACCTGTACACCGTATAAGAAAGGGTCCATGCATGGCCTCTTTACTTTCTATTTCGGGCTTGATCGGTTCTGGCGTACATAGGCATACCCTTGATCTGTTTCAACTGGAAGACTCCGCTGTAAGCTGGACCCTACACCCTAAACTCTAAACCCCAAGATGCCTAAACCTAGGAGAAAGCATGCCGGCACAAGAATCCTTACCGCATTTTAGTAACCTTGTACGCGGATCTTTCGGATTTTCAGGAAAAAAGCAACCCCAGTATACATCCCCGCCCAAAATGGTTGGCCGCTCATTGTAAGCACGCCGAATGCCTCATAAGGGACCCCTGATTTTCAGAACCCACCCCCCCAACCCAATCTATGGATCTGCCGCAGCGCCTGTGGACAAGCGATCTGCCGTCTGCGTCGAGGTGGTGCTCTCGCCTGTGCGTTGCTTCGGAGCCAGGAGCCGTTACATGTCGGTTTAGGTTTGGGGGTTTAGGGTTTAGGGTTTAGGGTTTAGGATAGTGAAGAACAACAGCTCGGTAACGAGAGTGACACCCTTGCGGTACTTGGAGGATCATGGGACTTAGTAGCTAGGCTTTCAAATGAAGTGAGTATAGTCAGATTACTTACAACTCCGAATAAAGTACTTTGTCACCTTACTTACTAAATCCCATGATCCTCCAAGTAGACAGGGCAAACCTGCCCTGTCGACCCAACAAACCTGGCGCTTGTCGCTCCCAATCAGGAGACCCCTTTAAACACATCAAGGTCTAAATAGCTAGGAAAGGACCCTAAACCCTAAACCCTAATCCCCTGGGGGTCCACTTTCAGATTAGGGTTTAGGGGGATCTCCTTGCTGATTCAACTCTATTCCATCATACGAATATACCCTAACTCTATCCTGTCTCAAATAATCAACACTTGCAACAAAAACAAACTGAAAACATATGAACATTTTTTGGAGAACCCAAGACCCCCTCACCACCCTCTTCAAAACAAGCCTGAACCTCTCAATCCCTAAACCCTAAGCCATACCATGAAAACCCGTTGGAGGGCCCCTAAACCCCTAAACCTTAAACCCCAAACCCTAAACCCCCAAACCCCCAAACCCCTAAACCCAAAGCCCTAGGGTTTGGGGTTTAGGGTTTAGGGTCCCAAACCCCTAAACCCCCCAAAGCCCTAGGATGAACACCCTTTGGAGAACCCCAGGGGCCCCGAGGCTCCCCCCCCCCTCCCGGAGGTGCTGCACCCGTGCCTTCCCGCACCATGATGCCGCCCTTGTCAACCTCGGCTTCGAAGGCGTATAGGATGTTTAGGGTTTAGGGTTTAGGGTTTAGGGTTTAGGGTTTAGGTGGTTTAGGGTTCAAGGGTTTAGGCTTTAGAGCCTAGGGATCAGGCTTTAGAGTCTAGGGTTTAGGCACTTTAGGCATCTTGGGGTTTACTTAAAGGATCATGGGACTTAGTAACTAGGGTTATAAATAAGGTAGCTATAGTTATAATTAGATATAACTCCCAGTAAGGTACTTATAACCTTACTTACTAAGTCCTATGATCCTCCAAGTAGGATGTTCAAGAGTTTAGGCTTTAGAGTCTAGGGTTCAGGGGTTGAGGATTCATAAGGGTTAGGGTCCAGGGTTTAGGATTCACAAGGGTTTAGGGCTTGGGGTTTAGGATTCATAAGGGTTGAGGGTTTTGGATTCAGAAGGGCCAGACGCATTTCGGGTTCAGGGTTTGGGATTTGGGATCCAGAAGGGCTTAGGGTGTAGGAATTGGGGTGAAGAACGATTCATAGTTTTGGTGGGCAGCTTCCTGGAACAGCTATCAGGGATCCACCTGTATCGTTTCGGGGCTTTAGGGTTTTAGGGGTTGGGGTTCAGGTTTGTGGGCTTGCGGGATTGGGTTGTAGTATTCATGGGTTGAAAAGAGGGTTCAGATGTACTAGAACTCGGGAATTGGTCCTCAAGACCTGCATCAGAATAGCACCCAGAGAACCCAATACCCCTTAATTAAGGAATAATGAATTATACCTTAAACCATAACATTAGGACCCTATAATTTAGGGTATATTCCTTAAACAAGGGGTATTGGGTTCTGTAGGTAATCTCATAGTCACGATCATGAGACAGATGGCACGCGCTTAACCGCCTCAAGCCTAACCCCTAAACCACCTGGGCCACGCCATCGTAAGTTCCGCGACTCCAGGCTCTACGCGCTGTCGCTTTACGAACCAAGGTCTTCAGCTGAATGCTTGATGTTTTCGGGTTTGGGCTTTGGGGTTTGGGGTTTGGGGTTTAGGGTTTTAGGGTTGTAGGGTTTAGGATTTCGGGTTTAGGGCACTGCGGGTCGTATTTTATGAGGGTTTGGTAGAGGCTTCGGGTTTAGGGTTTAGTTAGGGTTTAGGGTTTAGGGTTTAGGGTTTAGGGTTTAGGGTTTAGTTAGGATAATGGGTTTTGAGAGCCGTGTTTAGGTTTCGTCCCAGGTTTGCCTGGAACCGACTTGCGGTCAAGCTGCTCCACCAACCACCTCCCAAAGATCTTCCTTGGTGTAGGGTTTAGGGTTTAGGGTTTAGGGTTTACAGATCAGAGGGGGACTTCGGAGCGCGGATCCCTTCTCGAGGGGCGTCAGATGTCATGGCCCGAATTCAATCAAGGCCTTATCCTAAATCCGCTGACGGCATGTAGTCTTCGACTCAATTAAAGGACCACGGTCTCCGCAAGGTTTGGGTTATACGATTTTTGTCCGGTGTGGTTAGAGGGTGAAATCGGACAGGGTTGATATCATAAGATCTGGATAAGGATGGATAAGGTCTTATGGAGGTTTGGGCTAGCCTGTTGAAAAGAGCCGACTCGTTTGGGGCCTGGGGTCTATGTTGAATTTTGAATTTAGTGTAGAGAATGCTCCTATAATCTGAAACTACAATGTTGTCTTCTGGTGTATGGTATATACCTCCACCCTGAGCCGAACACAACACCCTTTTAACTACGTCCTGCACCTGTAATCTGTAAGCCGGAAAAGTAAACAAAAACGCTCAACGCGCTCCCCCGAACGAACGATACAAAGGTATCTTCCCTACACCCTCAGCCACCAGCCGGAGCCTGGGCCCTCCCCTATCCTCCTCCAGTTCCCCCAAAAAAGGCCCCAAGGTATCTACAAGCGTCCTCCTCAGCTACAGGGGCCGCTGGGGTCGGCGTTGGCGCGGGCGCGGGCGCAGGGCTCGGCACAGGGGCCTGGCAATCGCCCTTGTGTTGCCTTCTTTGTTGTATTGTTGTCCCATAAACCTTAAGCCCGAAACCTTCAACCCTTTTACTTCAGGACGGTGCCCGGCCTTAATTAAGACTGCATGTTGTTCTTGGCGCTTTTGCTTCAGAAGGCTTTGCAGGATCAGGGTGCATGGTCCACAGTCATTGAAATGTGTAGGAACTTGAAGTGTGTGGGAGCGACGGCTCCAGGCTTCTATTGACTTAAGGACTTACCGGCTCGTTTTGAATTGAAGAGGCTGACCAAACCCACAGCAATACGAAGATTAACTAAACTCCAAATGTCCTTGCCGGACCTTCTCCGGCTCTTTCGCAGCCGCTTTTCGTTCTGCAGCGATTCGCTCAGCCTCCTTGAAAGCCAGCGAATCGTCGGGCTTGGTTTTGGTTGGGGGCATGGGCCTCGGCATGGGTTGGGAGTACAGAGAAATAGCCGCTACAGACAGATGATGGGTGGTTGTTCCGAGTATAGAGGCTGCACATCGTTTGGGCTTGCACGTTCCGTACCTATGGCAGCTTCCTTGCCACAGTGCTCAAAGCTCCCCCATGCATGCGATGATACAGCAACCAGGAAACCCTAAACCCTAAACCCCAACCTGAAACCCTAAACCCTAAAGCTGGCAAAATACTATACCCATCGTCTCCAGGTTACTAGGATCCTGATGATACAATCTGTTAAACAAGAAAAAAGGAACTACAATGGAGACTATAGGTATAGCAGAAGCCCGGCATTCTACAGTACATATATATATATATATATGTATATATATATATACATATACATATATATATATATATATGTACTTAGGACCCCTTGAAATGTCCCCGATCCTTTGAGATGTCCCCGTCCGGAAACGCTAGAATGCATGAAATCGGCCCATGGACCGGGTTCATGAAGTCAAAAGCCATGATTTCTCAGCTTCTCGCCGCCTCTAACGCGCTCAAGCTGTGCACTCAAGAATCTGAAATAGGGTGTAGATGAGACTCCGGAAGGAGACATATGCGTAAATCTGACTCCGAAGTGCCACAGATTCCTAGCTAAACAGGAAGCGATGCTACCTGCGGTGAGCTGAGCAACCTAAAAGCAGTGCGCAAGAGCCAGCCCTTCAAGTCACTTGGACCCTACAACAACGTGCAACCTGACGCTCCGTGTACCTATATAGTCGGTTTGGGTTTAGGGTTTAGGGTTTAGGGTTATAGGGTTTAGGGTTTATAGGGTTTAGCGTAGTACATACTTAGGCCTCACAGGGGTTCCTATCCAAGCATTTGAAGGCCTAAACCCTGTAAGTCATGAAGCCATATTCTCAGCACCCTCAGAACTCCAACTGTCGCCGCCGCTTGTCCTTTAGAAAGCGTTGGGTTCACGCATTGGCGGCATTTGCCCAACGCCGAAAAGTGAATTCGTGGAGGGACCAACGAGGCAAGGCCAAGCCGGTCTCGAGAGATTCCACAGCTGCAAACCAAGGTTTAGGGTTCAGGGTTTAGGGTTTAGGGTTCAGGGTCTAGTGGTGCACATAGTAATTTTATGTTATTTTTCTATCATGCGAAGCAAAGCCCCAATAATAGCAGCACTCGCAATGCTAACCATGATAATGGCATAATAATAAGAACCGTGATAGTACTAACTGACAAACCTAGCATAATGTGATCTAGCACTACTGAATTAAGTATGAGTAGAAAGTCCGGCAATCTAAAGAGCTGCAAGCTACAAGTTCGGTGCCTAAGGTTCCCGCTCTTCGACGTTTTGAGATTTGTAGTGCTGGATGAAATACTGTCGGCACTCCTCATTCGCTTTATCCTCCCATGCTGCAGTTGTGCACTCCAAATCTTCGAAGCCCCTGTGCAACTGCTTCGCCATCATCTTGAGCAGGCGTTGCAGATCAATCCCCATCTGCACCAATGCCCTGGCCTCATAGCACGTCAAGCGGACAAGTCGCCGGAGGTGCTTGATGGACGGTGGCAGTCTGGACGCAACGTACTGCACATAGTCATCCAAGCTGAAGGCTTCATATGCAGAGGCTTCTGCCTGCCCTTTCGTCTCGCAGGCTTCGCCTTCATAACTGTGGTCGGAGAAGGCCGGAACAACGAGTCGTGCAGAACAACTGCCTTCGCTCCAATTGTGCTCAAAGTAGAAATCGGACGTGCTATGGCCCCCTTTGTAGCGCTGCAGGAAGCGAATCAGCCCCATCTTAGGAGGCATGTCCCCCAAGGACATGCCTATGTACTGCTGATAGGACGCAGCCTCGTCTCCGAAGGTCTCGTTGTGGATCCGCCGGAGCAGCATTCTCGCGTCATTGTGGCCTTGCCACTCGAGGAACTCAAAATCCTCTTTCTTGACAAGTGAAAGCGCATCTGAATCTTTCGACTCTCCCCTTTTCAACTCTTCGCATTGCTGTGGCTGAACCCCTCCTTGGACCACAGGGTTCTGCACTCCTTCCTTCCGCATCCCCGTTGTGGGTATCATCTCGCTGAGATGCACTGTCGTGGATTCGGCACAAAGCAACCCTCCAGAATTAGCTTTCCCTGCGTCAGGCATGCTATCGACGAGCCGTGTGCTTGAAGGCTCTGGGCACATGATCGGCACGCGAGCCGCCTGCCTCGCCTTCCGCCAAGCCTCTCTCATCCTGGAGACATCCACCGAAGGAGCCGCCGGAATTCCCAACTCAGCTAGCGTCTGTCTCAAACTACAAGACTGAAACACCTGCCAGCGCGGCCGCTTCCTGGGCTCCATGGTGCAAGCATGACTCTCCGGGAACGGTACATCGGCGCCCCTGGTGACATCCTGTGTGGGCGGATCTGGAACTCCCATATAGTGGATTACCTCAGCAAGAGTTTCCATAAACGCATCTTCCGGAGGCCCCATTGCGTAGAGCGGTCGCTTACGACAGGCCATGGCCGCAGTCAGCTGTGCCTCTGTCACAATGCAGAGTTGCATAACATTCGCATATAATTGCATTACTTGTTTGTCCATGTGTCCTCCATTACTCGCTCTGTTTGGACAGAACTAGCAAAGCTCTACCGCAGCTGAGCCACGCGCAGCCCAGGCAAGTGCTGTTCTTGACAAGCACCGATATATATATATATATATATATATGGTAACCCCCCCCCCTGGACCAACCTCCGCCATGAAACGGATC